GTTATCCCTCATATTCTCTGTGCTGTATTAAAATTAACTTCTTTAGTCCTAATTTTGTAAGATAAGAACTATTCATGTCCTCATTTTAAAAGCTCAGAGAGAGGGGTGAAGTGTCTTGCTTCAAAGTTATAGCTGAAAGTGGTGGCTTGGAGTTTCAAATCCAGGTGTAACTCCAGAGCATGCCCCAGCAAACTAGACAACCAGTGATGGGTATTGGGTGTCCTCTGGCTGGGTGAGAGGGGCAGGTTTCCCCCTCAAAAGTTACAGTTTCAGATTTTATTATTCAGAATTATTCTGTTGCCAAAGTTGCTATGGACTGCCACAGAACATACGAATCTGTCCTTGAAAAAGACACCCAGAGTGCTCCTTAGAAGCAAGGATGATGAGACTTCAGCCCTCTTACTTTGGACATGTTGTCAGGGAGACCAGGCCTGCAGAAGAACATCCTGCTTGCTAGAGAGGCAGCCACGAAGAAGACCCTGCACCCAATGAATGAAGCCAGTGACTATATCAATGAGCTCAAGCATAACAATTGTTAGAAGGGTGTTGGACCGGGCAGTGTTTTATTCTGTTGTGCATGCGTCAGGACCAAGGCAAAGGCACCAAAACACCACCACCACCATTAGTGTTAGGTAAATGTCAGATTCTTCCCAATTTACCGCCGGGCAAAGGTAATGAAGAAAGTGTACCTAGGCTTCAACTGTCCGGTTTTCCCGAAAGTACACTATCTACAAAACGTAAGCCCAAGTAACACCTTGAGGGCCATCCAAGTACGGCACTCTATGCATATACAGTGATGTGATTAAAATACTTTAACAACCTGTTGGCTGCCCTAATGACTGTTTTGAGTATAAAAATATATATACCAAAAGGTAGTTTTTTTGTTTTTCAAAAGGTAGTTTGTTATTTCATACAGTTAATACTTAAGTAAGAACATTAAAAGAGGTACACAAAACTAGATTATATTTTAAAAGTTTTGAAGTCCCCAGGGATAGAGGTAGTGCCAGGGCATGGCACCCCATCAGACTTGACTGGAAAGCACCCGTGAAGGAAAACAAACCGACCCTGAACTATTCATACGTTTATGTGTGTATGCGTGTGTGTTGTTGTTGTTGTAGCTATTGTTTTACTTTCTGTTGTTGCTTCGTGGTACTCAGTCTGGTGATGGTACATAGCATGTCTACCTGGAAGGGATAGGCGGAATAAACAAGCCAGAAGAGAGAACAATGGGATGACAGTTCCGGGGGGACATGGGGATAGGGGAGAAAAAAAAGTTTTAAAATACTAACAAAATTAACACCTGACACAAAACAATAAAACTGTTATGTAATATAGTTCCATGTTGCTTCTTGATTGGCGTCCTCGCTTGTAATATTCTTTGCTTTTATCGGAGCATCATCAGCTATGTGATTTATCCTTCACTGTCTTGTCACTGTAAGAATAAGACCCCATGCTTTTAGCACAGCAGTTCTCAACCTGTGGGTCGCGACCCCTTGGTGGGGGGGTGTCCAACGACCCTTTTACAGGAGTCGCCCCCTTCATAACAGTAGCAAAATGACAGTGATGAAGTAGCAACGAAAATAACTTTATGGCTGGGGGTCACCACAACATGAAGAACCATATTAAAGGGTCATGGCATTAGGAAGGTTGAGGACCACTGCTTTAGAGGTAGGCCAATCAGACAATAGTTGTTGTGTTTGATATATTAAAACAGGTGACTTATCTGAACATAATATGTTCATATTTGAACACCCCACTTCCTCTTCTGCTGAACTTATGGCAAGTGTTCTGACAGCATTTTTAGTGCTTTGAACACTTTCAGGAATTGCATCATTCATGCATAAAATTTGGCATAACACAACGCTGAAATGAATGACAATGTATCACCCTCTAGTTGTTGGGCACTTTTTCTTTATGTTCTATCTGTTTGTTTACTGAAATAACAAACACAATGAAATAAAAATAGCATTTCATCAAAAGTATAATGAGATTTATAGAGTGAGTAAGTAAATAAATATTACAAGAATCCAATTTTTTATACCTATTGGTGGAATGAACACTATTACTACGGGCACTTAGCATATCCTATTGCACAGATGAACATTAAAAAAGAGTAAGGAATATAAATTTGTGGTTTCCACATTGGGCAGCTGAGCTAAAATTAACTCATTTAATTAGCCAATAATAAAAGAGAAATCGTTAGCGAGAACCCTGATGAGAAGTGCCATTTTGACATGCCGGGGGGTTTAAGTTGAGAGAAAATGTTTTGAGAATGATGTACAAATGTGCTTTACACAATTGATGTGTGTATGGATTGCGATAACAGTTGTATGAG